CATTAACAGTTATCTTCGCTCAATACCACTCAAGATCAGATGGCCGGCCAGAAAAGATCAGCAAAAAGGAAGTATCTCTGGGAGCGAACCAACCAGGAACCGACTGTGAAACAAATAGGCAGGAAGAAATGGAGGTGGATTGGCTGGCCATGCTCTGAGGAAACCATCAAGTGACATCACTAGACAAGCCATCGCTCGAGTGGAACTCGATAGGGAAGCAGCGAGTTGGTCGTCAGTGCAAGGGTGACTTGGAGGAGATCATGTGAAGAGGAGGTGAAAGGATGTGGGCAGACTTGGAGCGGGGTGAAAAAGTTGGCAGAAAACAGAAGGCAATGGAGACGCGCAGCTGAAGCCCTATGTTCCTCTAGGAATTAAAGGATATAATAATAATTTTCGCATTTGATATAATGAGTAGTGCGCTGAAGTCTCATTGGAAGTGCCATCAATAGCTGGGGAGAAAAGGCAGAGCCAGTTGACGAGTCCTCGATCATATCAATTCGGTGAGACGTCAAAATCATTGGGAGGAATCGCCAAAATGAAGTGAAGGATAAGGATACTGCCACTCGAATTCAATAACGTCGCCAATATTTGATCTGGATTAATAATATAACCAGAAATAACGATGGCACTACGAGTATGGTTCGATACATTAAGTAACTCGTTTGAAGACTGAATACGAAACACTGATTTCTTATCTCTTTTGACCTTCAGCACCCATGCAAATGAAGACAGAAAACGGACTGGTCTGAATGGGACAGGACAATCGATTTTATTTAACAGAAACACATTATTTATTACTAGGGGGGCTTCAACAACACACCTCCACTTCGTTCTATTTTACTGTCGTTCTCTTCATCTGGGTCCATGATTGTCCATCTTCTCCTCCTACACCTACTCACACGACCTCCTCTATGTCACCCTTGAAATGACGACCCACTTGTCACTTCCCACTCACCTTGCATTCAAGTGATGGCCTGCATTGCGCGTGATGTCATTCAACGGTCTGTCTGTCTGTTTTCGACATTGAACTATACACAAATGTGCGGAAGTTCAAGTCGCCACACTCCGTGTAGCACGCGAAGCAAGAGAAGAAAGTACAAGAAAAGCATAATAGAAACAGTGAGCAGAGGTGTGAGAAAAAGGAGTAATAAAGAAAAACAAAACAGTTTCATTGGAGATCATAAGTCACAAGGAGTGGATGCATCTGCGCCACTGAGAACGATTTTGAGCCATGTCACCAATTGTTTCCAGCCATTGGTTTTCACCGTCCCGAGGACCCCAACCTGGAAGTCTACACCTTCCTACATGGCTTGGATTAACTGTTGTGGATTTCATTGACTGGTGCCAAGTTTTTGTTTGACCGCCGCTAGCTTTTTTCCAGCCTGACCCTATATCCACTAACATTGCTCGTCGAGGGAGGCAATGGCTTGGCATACGTAACACATGTCCTAACCATCTCAGTCTTTGTAACTTCACGACTTCGTCGATTGATTTCCCTTGTTTACCTAGCACTCGACGCCTAACTTCAATGTTGCTCACCTTACTATGCCACTTTACACGGAAATAGAGCGCAGGCACCTATAATCAAAGACAGCTAGTCTTTTCATGTCTTCCATTCTCAGTGGCCAGGTCTCACAACCATAAAGGAGGACGGTCTCCCCAATGTATGTCCGATCCGTCTTCATTTACTCCTACATATCTGGTAAGCGATGGGTTATTGGTTGTTACTAATTATTTCTAGCCATTCGATCTTCAGTATATACATATATTACCACCCTCAGAAATTTAGGTCAATAGATAACTGATTTGACTGGATGTATAATTTCGGACTTCAGTGTTGTCCAGTCGCATTATAATAAATATTCTGCCTCGGATCAGATGGTTAAAAGTGTCTAAAGTGCTTTGAGTTAGTCTTAGATTAGATAAAATTAAGCTTATTTTTTGTGAGGCCAGTTATTCTAACATTAGCTAAAAATTCTTATGTTCTGATATTCTCACTACTCCCGATCAACTAGTTTCACCTATGTATTTAACCTAACAGTCATTGCAGGGTATTTTGTAGATTATATTATTTAGTTTAATCGGGACAGATGAGGAAATATTACTCTTTACAAATTTAATTCTACTTCAAAAATATGACGGAGGTATGCGGATGACACTTCCTCAGTGTTACAAACGGAACGTATCTCTAGCCTCTTCACACATATAAACTCACTAGTAAAGGGAATAAAATTCACATTTGAATCAGAAAGTTAACAAGGATAATTATTCTAAAGAGTAATATAGGCAGGTGGAACGCGTGAGAGATTGATTACTAAATCCTGCCTGGTTCATCGAGTCTACACCCAACACATACAATACAAGTGTCTCAACGCAAATACCAGAGATATTGAAGATATTATTACCACCAGTCAGTCAAATCAGAGGATAATAAATAATGTTAAAATGTATTCAGTTCACATTATAAGGTTCTAACAAGTTACTTATTTCGACTGTAAAAACATCCTATCTCCCATCTGATTGACAACACTAATATTGTTTTCGAATGTACTTTATCTTCCCTTCTGCTCCACGCATGACTTATATTGATTTTATTCAAATGTCTAATCAATTTTTACTCATGTATATAAACGAAGCTATAAGGTTGTGTGTGTATTGTCTTGATATGATTATGAGGAGCAATAAGTTGTGCTCCAAATATGGTCATCGGTAAATATTACTGTATAACAACACTGTGTGACTTTATCAAAATAAAAATGTTACCCGTAGTGCAACAAACTATTTGGATTTATTAATAACTCTGCAGACAATTTTCGCAACTCAATGAATTTTGAAGGCCTACACAGCAGTAGATTTGCTATTTATATGGGACAAAATAAACAAAACATGTCAAATGTTCCAAGTGATAAGTAGTTCTGACTAACATAAGGCGACATAGCAGGTGAGTACGGCAGGTTACAGAAAGTAAGCACAACGAAGCTGATTGACTGAGCTTCCCACATAGAACTTTGAACAGAAGTGAAGAAAAAAGTCAAGGGAATTATAGTGGAGCGAAAATGTATGGGACAAAGAATGAGTACGTGAAGTAGGATAAGAATTTAATGGATCTGTATCATTCAATCATGTCGCCAAGGGTCTTCAGCCAGTGGTTCTTTATGGGAAGCACTGTAAGAGGTTGAAATGATACTATGTTGGATATTCCTTACAGTAAGAACTAAAATGCATGTTCCTCACAAGTTCATACCTTATTCAATACAAGAGTTTCTTTATACACAACAATACTGTACTACCTACCACTCATTTATTAAGAATTTTAGTGGAAATAGATTGGTTTCTGGCAACCACATTAAACGACAACTCATGAAGAATGAACTATTATTAGCTTGAAACTCCCAACGGATGGCTACTTTATCGACATGGTGGTCGGTTTGCATATCACAATGAACCGACGACCTACACTGGGTTAAGATTTTCATACGAACACAACTTCAAAAACCACTTTAAACAGGACACATGTAACCAGCTTTAAGTAGTTACCTACTGGGTTCTGCGGTCATGCAACAGGTAGTCGAAGAGTAAATCAACTTCCACGGTGTGGACAATTGGGAAGTAACTACCTCCCACATATTTTCAAAAGCATAAAAAGCATTTCTGATTACCACTCAACTTTATCATACAAATCCAGAGTGGTGAAAAGAATTTTTAATAATCTTTGGCAACTTTTACTTCATAGATTATGATACTGTTTACAGAATTGCAGCAATCCTATACAAAGACAATTCACGTCTGATAAGTAGGCCGTTAATACAGAATTCCAACTGCTAGAAATCTTGTTCCCAGAAATAAGTGCTATAAATATGTCTTAGTGGGGACTAAATTTATTTAACTAACTTTTCGCAAAGGATGATGGTTGTACTTCAAATTACATATTGACGAGTCTAACGGAACTGAAAAGTCTTAGCTTTTAGTTTGAGTAAAATCCATTGTACTTCTAAACTGACTTCTTATTTAGATACTTGTCAATGACTTTATGGCAATCTGTTTCAGTTTTAAAAGATACTTCATATTTCAACCAGTTGTATGATGACGGAAAATGTCGGAAATAAGTGAGTTATTTTTCTCAAATGGCAAACTATTACAAGTAATAACACTAGAGCACCTGAAAGTGAAGAAGCAAAATTACTAAGTTTGTAAATAAGTGGACAATAATCCAAGGAAAACGAAGAATCGATACCACATTCCATGCAAATCATAGGCAACCTTTGTGACATTTAAAGGAAGAATCCGCAAGGCGACATTGGGAACAGACGTCATACAGCAAATCACTGAAAAATGGCATCTTAATACCAACGAAGCGTATATATCACTAGATTTCAAAACAAGAACTCGTGTTGATGGATATTTCGATAGGTGAAAACCAGCACTATTTACGACACTCGACATGAAATCAATATCACAATGAATCTTCAGTATTAACGCATGGCACGAGTTTATCCGTTGAATACAGAATTCATCGTGGACTATGTGGTTGAACTGGCGAATACCAATTTCACCATTAGTAATTTAACTACCTGATTATTTTCTGTTTTCGTCTTCATGTGTACTCATGCGACTATTCCCCCACTTAACAAGATTGCTTCTTTTCCCGTCGTCGTGCACTGGTAAGAAAGGGATACGGCGTAAAGCAGTCTAAGTATAAGAAGCATTCTAATAAAGTATACCGCGTTATCATGGGTAGGAGAGATGGAATGTCTTTATTTATATAGGTGAAGTATACACACCTCCTCTCACGTGAGATCCAATCACAAAAGGAAATAAATCCATAAAATTTACTTGAAGGTCTACTTGAAATCAAATTATGCATGAAGCGTTTACTTTATACACTCAGGGCTATTTGGTATGAGTTGGGATTTTACAAAACAAGTGTGTTCAGTATAAAAGCATGTTTATATCTAAAATACTATGTACAGCATATGTTTTGAAGAGACTAAATTACATTTTTACAACTTTTCAGCTTCCCGTCTTATACGTGCTGCAAATACTTTAGAGACTAAATTCCAGGCTTCTACATAGCGATCCATGCACAGACCTATACATTTCTATCCACTTAGTAATGTGAGAAAGTTTAACGTTACCTGTTCTGAGTTATCTAAACTTGTTCCTGGTTTAGAAACACACTTTTCAAAACATTTATCCGACATTTTCTAGGTTTCATTTGAACATTATGCTTAATCACTTACTTCCAATAACTCTCTGGCACTCGCCAAAGCAACTTCAGCTCTCATTTGTTCCATTAGCTGTCCTTTTTGTGCAGGTGTCAAGGAATTCAAATTAATATTCTGGTCCATTATGATTAATTATAGGTGTACTAATATAGGGGTAACGCAGTAAGTAAAAGTGCGCGGGCCAACGTCTTACTGCGCTCACCGAAATTCCAGTGAGCCACAGTAAACAAATATTCAGACAAATAGAAATAGATCTCTTGTAGTAAAAGCAAAGACCATAAGAGGAAGCTGTTCTCGTTGGCTACGTGCTTTTAACAAAGAATTAAGCGAAAGTAGTAAGTTATTCTTTCTTGAGGGCGCCCCAAATATAAGGTTTATTTGCCGGGGGGTTCTAAGCGTCATTCAAAATACATGGTTTTCCCACAAGAGTCTGTCGTACTTGTAGAGTCTTTTTCACCTTCTGACTAGTGAAATCCTTTTTCTACACCGAGAAAATGTTTAAGGAGTGAGGAACTAGCGACTCCAGTTATCATATTCTTTGGCTGATACTGAGATAATTATTGCTAACTTTGCACTAAAAAACCCACACAGAGTAATTTTCCCATCCATTTCTGTTCTAAACAGGGTCAAATTGTAACTTTTGACTTCAGAATAAAACAAGGCAATCGGGGACTCCATGTTTTCATATTCAGGCCGTTTATGTGAGTGCGGTTACTGATGCGACTGCAAACAATTCCTATGTGGTGGTTAATGAGACAAGTGATATAGCAAGGTAGATTTTAACTGTTTGATCAGCATCATCGAACATAACAGAACACATTTCTATAACATTTTTGCCTGTGTCAGATACCCCAGGGCCGTCTCTCAGTCGTATTCACCCGCTGTTGTATTAAGTATTACCGAGATGTTCTTCTGGATTGCGTTGGCTGAAGACTCGTTGGAATGACAGTATATATTTGCAAAGCTTAGTGATAGCCATATTGGTCTTAGCATGGAAACTAGGATGTTTTCGATGAAAATAAAGCTTCGTTCAAACACTAATTTTGTTGTGTTTTTAATCAAAGCAGCCAGACTTTAAGGAAGCAACAAATACGAACAAGGATTAAGTTTTAGTCTTATTAAAGGCCAAGGTAGTTAAGATAAAATAGAGTATAATAATAATAATTTTGCTTTTATTCCAGAAACAGTACTAAAGGTACAGTGTGGAATTTTCAGCACATATCTACAATATTGCATCTGATTTCATCGCACATTTAAAAGGAGTATTACAAAAAATATAAAAAACAACAACAAAAACCAAAAGGAAACACAAAAAAGTGCAAATAAAAATACCAAGTAGAAAGGAAGATAAACACCAATAATGAAAAATATTTCAATATTTGGTAATGGAAGCTGTGATATGTGTGTGCGTGGTGGGCATTAACAGCTATAATCATACAGGAAGTTATGAGATGTTCTTAAGAATGTTTATAGCCAAGATGATCAGTTAATTTGATTGAACTACAATAAACAATCATAAAATAAACATTTCAGGGTTTTTATTGTCATCACTAATTCAGTGTTTGTTGCGGTGGTGTGAGTAATCATGCATAATACAAAAATTTTAGGATGGTGATAATGGCGTTCACAACCAAGATTGTCAGTTAATATTGCCGAACAAAAAACAATCACAAAAACCAATATTACATGATGGTTAATGATACGACAATTTTGCAATGCGCATAGTGCTAATATAGTCTGGACCAGAAGATACACAAAAGAAGAAATAGAATAAAGAACAGGTATGATTAAGACGGTTGTTCACTATAGAGTACAAATAAGAGAGTATAAGGGATAGACAAAAGGGCCAAAATTATGTTGTTAATAACATGTTGTTAATAATCATGTAAATGCTTAATTTATGTGAAATATATATATATAACAAAGCAAGTCATAGGTTTCGCGCTTAACATCGTCTCTGTCACTTAGAATACGGGCCAAATATGGTATCGTTGAGTTCCTATACTTAGTTGTACGAGCATATCTTATTTTGTACTGATTTCTGGTTCTACTCGATGAGATGCAGGGAGAGGGTTGGGAATAGAGGGAGTGTAGGGGGTTGGAGAGTATGGTTTTAGACCATTTTTCGCATGTATTGAGATGCTTATCTACTAATGTAGTGACGAGCTGACTGAGTTTTACACCACTAGTCCTACTAACTACCTTCAACATCCTTCTCAGGATGGCATAGTCCTTTTTCAGTAGGCCAGGAAAGACTAATGGGGAGCAGCAAAGTGGAATAAGTAAGAGAGTTGACAAATTGTGAAAGCGGAGGCTGGGTGATTCCAGTTACTCTGGGTTTCTTAATGTAGTAGGTTAGACGAAACACTTTCTTAGAATTCGTTTGGATATGAGATGACCAAGTTAGGTCGGAAGATAGAACTAATCCGAGGTATTTTGCATGAGACATGGTGTCAATTTTAGCCCCGTCAATGCTACAGGCTTCGTGAGTGCTTACTAGTGTTTGTAGATCTCGTTTATGGCTAAAGGAGAAGTCAATAGTCCGGCATTTTGAGGGATTCAGCATGAGGCTGTTTAGTTTAAACCACTGACTGATGTCCGACAGGAAGCTACTTAATTTGAAACAGTCTGACTGAGACTTAACGGGAAGCGAAACGGTCAGGCCATCTGCATATTTGACGAAGTTGATTTCGTCTGAAAGAAGTGAGTCATGTAAGAAGAAGGAAAGGAAAAACGGAGAGAGAACAGCACCCTGAGGAACTCCAGCTTCAATAAGGAGAGGAAGATACACCGTGTACTGCATCCTATTTGAGAAGTAAGAGTGCAGCCAGTTAATAGTCCAGGACTCAGTTTGTGTAAGGCTAAGCTTTTTAACAAAATGCCTCTAGGTACAGAGTCGAAAGCAGATGTGTAATCAAAGGACGTACAACGCACACACTTGGCCCCTTTGTCTAAGGAGGATACAATGTTGTGGTGAAACACAGCAGCGTCTGAAGTACTTCTACCCTGTTTGTAAGCAAAGTGCTTTGGATCATTTGAGAAGCTTAGGAGGGAACAAGTTTTTGTAACAATAATTCCTCCATTAGTTTCAAAATAGGAGAGGTGATAGCAATAGGTCTAAGCTTAACACTATTTCCAGAACCTGACTTGACTACAGGGATGACTTTAATATCTTTCTACAGAGAAGGTACAACATTATTAGAAAAAGAAGTATTAAAGATGTTTGTTAGTGGATTACTTAAAATATCTGCACATTTCCTTAGAGCAATGGCAGGTATACCATCAGGGCCTAGACTCTGGGAAGGTTTAAGAGATTTTAAACATTTAGGAACATCAGAAGTATTAAAATTATGAAAGTCACTGGTCGTGTTACTAGTTAAATTGAAGGCAAAAGGGACATTTGGAGGGCAGATAAAAGATCTATTGACAGTATTTACATCAATCGAAGAGGCACTATTACTATACTTACCACAACCTGTAATTTCTCTAAAAAGCTCCCATATGTTTTCTGAAGTTTTACAAGACAGTACCGTTTGATTATAAATATTGTTTAGTCTCTTGATTTCAGGTTTAATTTGGATGTTTATCTTCCTTAGACCTGATTCATTCTTTGTCTTGTACAGCTTCTCTTTTTCTCCTAGAAGCTTTTTTAGATGAGGGGAAGGAAAACGATCCATTCTTTTGAAAATTATCTGTTTTGGACAGCATATGTCAGGGCAGAATTTAAGACAATCAGTCAAGTTGGAAATGGTATCATCCAGTGTGTGTTCGTTGAAAAGTTCCCAGTTTGCGTCACTTAGCATATATCTTAGTTTTAACACATTTTCCTGTGAGTAACACCTTTGCTGTGTTTCCCTGGACAGATTTGAGAAGATATTAAAGTGAGATCTGCTGTGTATCTTAGGTAATATCCGAATAATACAATGATCCGAGTTCATTATAGGAGTACGTCTGCGTGCTTCATATATTTCCTCATCATTAATAAACACTAGATCCAGAGTTTTATCAAGTCGAGTAGGAAATTTAACAATATTGACATGACCTAATGATACAAAGAAAGAACAATCACAACAATTGAAATCTCCAGTGACAACTGATAAAGAGTTTTCAAGATGTGTAACGGCGAATTCAGTGAATTCATCAGCAAAATCAGATAGATCCGAGACGGAACAGCCAGGAGTAACATAAATATTTGAGATGAAGACGTATTTAAACTTGGATAAGTGTTTCTGACGGCATTTAAAGTTGACCATTGAGAATGAATAAAAGTTACAGCACCTGCACCTCTCTTCTTTCTGGAGCGTAGTCGGTCTTGTCTAAACAATGCAAAACCATTCAGGGAAACCAGACTGTCATCGTAGAGTTCATGGAGCCATGTTTCTTGTAATGCAACAATCGCCGTATTGTGATAAGTATCAGATGATAAGGGAGACTGGAGATGCATAATTTTGTTGGGAGGTGAACGCCAGTTTGAACTGACGATAACAGGAATAGTTGTGCGATATAAAGGTGTCTGTTTAAGAGCACGTTGTCAACCACCGTGATGTTTTCTCTCAGTTTTATTAGGACTTATAGGACTTAAAAGTGACCTATAAATGCAAGAACACAGATCTCGGAATAACAGTAAACGCCATACAGCAAGAATTAGAAAAAATGGACAGATGGTGTGACACCTGGCAACTCCAGTTTAATGTCGACAAATGTGGCTGGCTCTGCATAGGTTGCAACAATTTAGAACTTGACCTGACAATTCAAGGCCATGCACTCTTACGACCGGAATCTGTATTGGACCTAGGACTGAAATACTCACATGACTTATTTTCTGAACATATCTCCAAACAAGTGTCAAAGTCACGCAGACTTATCGGCTTTCTACTCAAGAACTTTTACAGAAATGAGTCCAGAATTCTGTTGTACAAGGTTTGTGTGCGTCCTTTATTTGATTACTGTTCATTCATGTATAGTAGTATACGCATAGAGGACAAATTGAAAGTCGAGGGAGTGCAGAGGTACTTCACGTCAAAATTACTTGGAACCGAAAGTGGTGCGAACTACTCCACTAGATGTGACACCCTAGGATTAGAAACACTATGGCTAAGACGCCTGAGACTAAACTTAACACT